AGGGTCAACACTTCCTAGTTCCAGGCAGAACGCAGAACAAAGAACAAGAGTTCCAAGCTGAACAAGTTCGAGCAGTTTCTAATGGAATGACCAGAGTCCGTCGATGCCAAGATGTCTCGCTGTGGCTACTCGACGAACGCTCTGAACAATGAAGAAGTCTGTTCCGTGATGATCTCACGACTCCTGAGTTCTCTGCTATCCTTACGGAGACGCTGAAAGGTGGCTTGAAGTGGAACTTTACGCCGGAACTGAAATATCTTCAGAAAGGTAAAAAGTCGATCTTCAACTGCGAAGTGTACCGTGGGTTAAGCTGGGTCCAAAGGAGCGTGTTGTTCTGGTTATAACAGACACATTCCCTCACCCATCTCTCTCCATTTAAACTTCATTTTCCCATCTTTAAAACTCTTCTATCTGCCAGTAATTAATCCAGATATTCTCAGAAATGTCTGTTGGTTTTAAAAGCTGCAGGTGAGGAAACCATGGCCGTATGGTTTTCTCATTGTAAAGCTCATTAATTAAGCTGTCTTATTGAAATCAATCTGCCAATTAATGTAAATGTGTGATGTTGTTTTAAATCGTTTTAATAAACGACCCACTGTTGTTGGTGAGTCAGAAATTAAAACACGTTTCCATCCACATTTAATCATTCAAAACACGATAGTACTCAGTCCAGAAAAATGAAAGAATCCGTTTAAATTATGAATAATATCTGACAGGTATTATGCTCATTACATGAGAAAAGCTGAAATTTGCTCAACACAGCTGAATGGCAGCTATAACAGGCAGAAAGAAGCTTAAGTTTCTAGAAGGAAGTCAAGGGAGCATGTTTTTTGCTGAATTAGGTTGAAAAAAGTTTAAATGATTGCAGAAAATGTGGAATTATTGAAAAAGATTAAATTAACATCAAAACAGATAAATGCTAGCTGAAATAACAGAAATAGCTGAAACCTACAGAAATAAGCTGAAAGGAGCAGAAAAAAAACAAAATTAACAGAAATAAGTTTGAAGAAGCATAAAAATCTTGAACTTAGCTGAAGGAAGCACAAAACAGCTGAAAAGAACAGCTGAACAAGCTGATTTTTAAATTTTCATTCAGATGCTATTAGGGATCGTTGTCAGCTACCAATACGCCAAGTTTCATCTCAATAGCTCTAAAAATGGCAGAGTTATCCTAGTTTTTCTCTAAAACTGCTGAATAGTAGCTACAACAAGCAGAAAGAAGCTTAAATTACTAGAAGGATGTCGGAGGAACATGCTTTTGTGGAATTAGTTGTAAAATGAACTCCATTCATTTTCAATGAGAGCAAAAATGGCAGAAAAGACTAAATATCTCAAAAAGCTAAAGTTGCATCAATACCAAAGTCACAGCAGTCATGTCCTGAAACAGCTGAATTTTTTGATATATGATTTATTAAAATAGCACAAAAACTGTGGGAGTAGTTAGATGCCGAAAAACGTATGTAAGTAAAAGTGAATCTCAATAGTGTGTATGTCTGTAATAGAGTGAATGTCTATAATAGTGTGTATGTCTGTAATAGAGTGAATGTCTATAATAGTGTGAATGTCTATAATAGAGTGAATGTCTATAATAGAGTGAATGTCTATAATAGTGTGCATGTCTATAATAGTGTGAATGTCTATAATAGAGTGAATGTCTATAATAGTGTGAATGTCTATAATAGTGTGAATGTCTATAATAGTGTGAATTTCTATAATAGAGTGACTGTCTATAATAGTGTGAATGTCTATAATAGTGTGAATGTCTATAATAGAGTGAATGTCTATAATAGAGTGACTGTCTATAATAGTGTGAATGTCTATAATAGTGTGAATGTCTATAATAGAGTGAATGTCTATAATAGTGTGAATGCCTATAATAGTGTGAATGCCTATAATAGTGTGAATGTCTATAATAGAGTGAATGTCTATAATAGTGTGAATGCCTATAATAGTGTGAATGTCTATAATAGAGTGAATGTCTATAATAGTGTGAATGTCTATAATAGTGTGAATGCCTATAATAGTGTGAATGCCTATAATAGTGTGAATGTCTATAATAGAGTGAATGTCTATAATAGGGTGACTGTCTATAATAGTGTGAATGTCTATAATAGTGTGAATGTCTATAATAGAGTGAATGTCTAATAGTGTGAATGCCTATAATAGTGTGAATGCCTATAATAGTGTGAATGTCTATAATAGAGTGAATGTCTATAATAGTGTGAATGCCTATAATAGTGTGAATGTCTATAATAGAGTGAATGTCTATAATAGAGTGACTGTCTATAATAGTGTGAATGTCTATAATAGTGTGAATGTCTATAATAGAGTGAATGTCTATAATAGTGTGAATGCCTATAATAGTGTGAATGCCTATAATAGAGTGAATGTCTATAATAGAGTGAATGTCTATAATAGTGTGAATGCCTATAATAGTGTGAATGTCTGTAATAGTGTGAATGTCTATAATAGAGTGAATGTCTATAATAGTGTGAATGCCTATAATAGTGTGAATGTCTATAATAGTGTGAATGTTTATAATAGTGTGAATGTCTATAATAGTGTGAATGCCTATAATAGTGT